GTTGTAATGTGACAAAATATGGAAAAGTTCAAGGGGAATGAATACTTTTGCAAACCACTGTATATCCGATTTAAAACCACATACTGAAATGGCCTGGGTCGGATTTGAAAAAATCGGATTTGTCGCGTTCAGACTGTCATAAAAAAATCAGATATGAGTCAGATGGGTCAAAAAAATCGGATTTGGGTCGGATTTGCCTGCAGTGTGAACGTAGCCTTAGCCTCCCTTTCCAACACCCTGGAGTAAAAAACTAAAACATTTAAGACGTGTCAAACCTGTACTATACCATTCTGCACTTCTAGCAGAATATTTAAAACCAAGTTTTATTTGGGGTTTTATTTAAACCCTCGTCCTGACCACACCTCCTCGCTCATCCACACACTTCGCCCTGCCCCTCTGTATTTCTTGGCACCGCCCACTTTGTTGGAATTTTTTTAATTTGCCTGTGGGCGGGGTTAAGCTTTAAACTCAGTTTCCTCAAAGTGAGGTCAAAGAGGTTATTTAGATTATTTTTCATTGTTTACAAATCTGTTCAAATGGTTGAAATACTTCTTTAACGATTTATCTACAACAAAGAAGCAAACAATTATAATAAAAACAATGATAATAAATTAGACAACTTGCTCAAAAGTAGCTCATCTGTACAAGATACAGAACATTTATTCATTTTCTTCAAAGTACACAGAAGACTGTCAGACAACGTCCAGGGTAAAAAAAAACATTCAGAGTATTTGAAAAATGACATCATTTTTATTTTCTGTTCATCAAACGGACTAAAGCACCTTCTGCAACAAATCTGTGGAAGGCATTCTCTCAAGCTGAACACTAAGCTTTGATTGAACATCGGAAAGTTTCAAAATAAATACATTAAAATCAGTACCTGTCAAAAAAAAAAAAAAGATTTTCTGAGAACTTTTCAAAAAGAAACACTTCAGACCTAAAGTCCTGATGTTTGAAAGGCTTTTACAGGACTTACTGTAGGTCTGTTGCAGTGGAAACATGTTTTACATCGGAGGTGCGGGGAGATACTCAAAAAGAGGCGGAGCTAAACAGAAACTTAGCATTTTCTTTTATAATGTGTATTAACTTAAACATCATTAGCAGATGTGTTTATTTATTTGCTCATTTGCTTTTTTAGTTTTGACATTATTTTGTCATCCACCAGAGTGCTGCAGCACCCACAGCGCCCCACGTTCAGGAAGGCAGAACTAATTATTCCTGATGGTTACTTTGTGACATTTTTCATGTTTTGGATCAAAGTGTTAAATTGAGAAAAATCACAAACTGAGCATAAAACCTGTAGACTTAATGAAAAAGACTTTAAAATGTATTTTCACCCCAAGGTAAAACCAGAGAAGTGTTGGAGAACTTACTCTTCATCCTCCTCCAGGTTCCACATGTGATCAGCTCGCTGGTTTGATTCCTACATCAGCTGATTTTTACATTGTGGGATTAAAACAAACATGACAGGACTTTTATTTTCTGCAGTAAAACAATTCAGTGACTTTATTAAGAAACAAACATCACCGGAAAAACCTTCATACTCTGAAACTCCTCCACATTTCACCTTCAGTCACACACCGACACAAGCAGCACACAACTGAAGGAAACGAGAAATCCACAGTTCTTAACATTTTTCACAATAAAAGTCTGAAAAGTGTGGCGTGCATTAGTTTRCAACCCCCTTTACTCTGATCCTCCAAACTAAAACCCAGAACAACCAGCCTGCCTGCAGAGGTCTGACTCAGGCGAGCTGAAAACAGAGGCAGCAGCACATCCTTTATAAAAAACCAGCTGAGGTTCTCTTCTTTGTGTTCTGTCGCATTAAGTTCTGATAAAATACTTTAAGGGTCGTAACGAGACAAAATGTGGAGAAGTTCAAGAGATATGAAAACGTTTGAAGGTTCTGTCACACAGATCTACCTGTTTGGAAGTGCTTTCACAAAGTCTCATTCCATGTTGCATTTTTGTCACTTAAACACACACGCACACACACACGCATGCACACACACCTGCAAAAGAATTCAATAAATAAGACTCAGAATGCTGTAAGGCAGTGCTGAAGATGCTTCTGTCTCCATCAGCAACAGAAGCAGAAACATCCATGTTCACAGAGCAACAAACTCCTCACTACTTTTTAACTCAAGTAAAATTTCAAGGCCTTCCAGGTGAGCTGCTGATCGATGGGGTTCCTCACCACACCTGGACCTGGTTTCTGCAGCAGGATAGAGAACCCGGTCCGACCGGCAGGTTGGACCRGCGGCCACAGACGGCCGTCTGCGTTTCCTCCAAATGTGGAATCGATCCAGAAAAAGTCAGAGGGAAAAAAGAAAGGCAGAGGGAGCCGAGCTCAGGACAGTCCCGATGTGTCCAGGTAACTCTGCAGCTTCCGGACTGTACTTCTGTCCAACGAGCACAGGTCAAAGTCAAAGGTGGTGTTGGTGATGTGGAAATGTCCCGTCTCTTCGATCAGGTTAACGATCTGAAAACCAGAAACAATCCATCAACAGCTGAACACCTCAGCTCCTCTCAGGAACTGGAAGGGATCAAATCACAATCTCAGACTCAGCTTTCTTCAGCAGGTTTGTTTGAGCCACATTCTTTGCTGATTTCCCAGAGACCCAATCATTTCCTGTCTTGTAAACAGGAAGTGGGTTCTGATAACTATTACATAAGTTCAAGTTAGACAGGGTTTGGTTTCTTTCAGACATAAGACGCATGAAATGTCTCAGGTGGGGATAGGTGGAGCTCTGTAATGTTAGTACGGTAAGAAATGGACTGATCCAGGATTTAAAGCAGGTGTTCAGTACAGGTATAATGTACCCACAGTGTGGGCCTCAGACAAGAGCTCACCTGTTGTAAAATATGACCGTCTCTTAGTGTCATCAGTCTTTTATGCAGCTCCACCAACTCATCCAGGTAAGCCTAGAAAACACACATGAAGTTGTTAATGTGGAGAAACACTCAGAGAGAGGAAGAAGAAAAACAGACAGCTGTGGTGGATTTATGGCTGACAGCAGCAGTACCACTGTACCAAGTACCACAGTACCACTGTTCCACAGTACTACAGTACCACTGTACCACAGCACCACTGTACCACAGCATCACTGTACCTCAGTACCACTGTACCTCAGTACCACTGCATCACTGTACCTCAGTTCCTCTGCATCACTGTACCTCAGTACCACTGTACCTCAGTACCACTGTACCTCAGTACCACTGCATCACTGTACCTCAGTACCACTGTACCTCAGTACCACTGTACCTCAGTTCCTCTGCATCACTGTACCTCAGTACCACTGTACCTCAGTACCACTGTACCTCAGTACCACTGTACCTCAGTACCACTGTATCACTGTACCTCAGTACCACTGTACCTCAGTGCCACTGTACCTCAGTACCACTGCATCACTGTACCTCAGTACCACTGCATCACTGTACCACTGCATCACTGTACCTCAGTACCTCGGTACACAAGAGTTTTGTTGATATTTGTTGATGTTGGTGAGAACGTTACACTGAACAACCAAACATTTTCTGACATTGTTATGATGAAAGATTCTGTGTAAGATGCTGAAACTGAACCTGACACAWGTCAGAGCAGTTTCCTCTCCATCACTCTGAGACTGACCTGGTCTACATACAGGCCAGTGTGGCTGGTCCAGCTTCACACTCCACCCAGGACCCAGACATGCCGCTACTGATAATAAACCCACACAACCTCACCATACAAGTTCTGTGCAAAACCATCAAGGACCGTTAACACTTCATCAGGTGTGTAATGGAGCACAGTGTGTTTTTAATATAAACACCAGTGGTGGGCACCAGTCCGCTAAAGCGCAAATCCGCTAATTGCGGACCTAAATATTTTGTTTGCGCTTTAGCGGTCTTAGAAATTTTTATAATTCATAAGTGGATTCATGCTTTCTAAAATAAAAATGCAGTACCGTTAATAACTAATTATCTACCAGTCATCATTATCTTGAACAGCGGAAAGTATGGCTGTCAATGAATCACAACACACATGATCRGTCCAACAGATCATGTGTCCTCCCAGATAAACACATTTATTGAGAAGATATACATCCTTGCTGACTGTTGCTCTCGGTCACGGTTCTCATTTCCCACAATGCTTTGTGTCTGCTTACGTAGCAGGAAGGCATTGTTTAGAACTCCCTTTCCCAGTAAAAACAGTAAACGTTTGTAATCCATGCTAAAATTTTGTATGTATTGATTTATTTTACTTTACAATCGGAGCTCCTTTAAAAAAGTTTAAAGGCTGCCTAATATGGGGGTCTTAGCACAAGTTAGGATCCATCTGTGGGCTATACAAAACATGTTCATTTGATTTAATTCACAAAAAGAAGCTCAAAAAATGAAATTTCACCTTTTCAGTTCTTCCTGTTCTTCATCTCTCTGCAGAACGTGCTGTATCCAGAAGTTGCTATGGAAACCCCCCTCCCCTATCCCGCCTATCCGTTTGTTTACTTTAGCTCCGCCCACTCGACATGGTAGAAGTTTTCAAAGTGAAATTATTTTCACAAACTATAGCTTTATATTTGGCAATATTGTAAGAACATTGTCATCAAAGATAAAAATAAAATGAATCCAGGCATCTCTGTTCTCCATGGCTGCTGAAAAAAACAGAACAACTATCGTCCTTTGAGGAAGTGGGCGGAGCTTCACCTCGGGTTGAACGGTGAGGAGCAGGACTCTGGTTTAGGTTGCTAGGTGACTGTTATTGTGACATCATAATAACYTGTTTTGAAAAATACCATGTTTCCAGATGCCTAAAAATACATTTAATTACAGCTAAAAAACGGCTGGGTGCATTTTTTTGGTGTTTGGACTGCTTCTCTAAGCAGTAGAGACCCAATAGTAAGTTTAAAAACATGAAAAAAGTGAGTTTTGCATAATAAGTGCCCTTTAAACGATGGAGCTCAATACTTGACGTAATTGGTCGAAGCAATCCGCCAACAGGGTTAGACAGACATCTAGTGTTCAACTGGCGCAACTACATGAAAAACTTTCGTTTCCCATCACAAATCAAATCCGTCATGTACCCAGAATGCATCGCTTCAGTTTTTTTTTCAATAAACAGTTTTAAAATTACTTTATTGATGCTTCTTCAATGAAAAAGCAACAACAAACAAAAGAAAAAGACAAAGAAGCAGCCAAACTAGCAATCCTCAACAACTTTTTAATTTTTACACCAGGAGCCAAAGTTCTGCTTCAGGAAATCACATCCCCCAGAAATCAGCGTTTGTAGGATTAAGCTGTACAAGGGTTCATACACCGCTAGTTGGCAGTGTTGTGTATATATTGTACATGAATTGTTGCCAGCTAGTAAGTGTCAAATTGAACTTGCGCTTTAAAATTAGCTTCCGCTAGTTTTTCTATGACATAAGCGTTTTTGAAGTTGCGGACCTAAATATTTTTAGAAGCACTTTAGAAATTGCAGAGCTAATTTTTGCGTTAGCGCTGCCCACCACTGATAATCACAAAAACCAGCACCCTTCAGGGTTGTCGAGCAGTGTAAAGTAATAAATAACTGGTGTAAAACTTTAACAGAAACCTTTGGTTGGCTGAATGGTTAGATCCACTACTTCACAACAACCCTCACAGATCTGAACCCCTCCACCATCTTCAGTATTTTACTGGACCTTACATGACGGCCCAACAGAACTGTGGAAAAGTATTCATGCTGCACCTGAACTCAACTCCCGTGAGYGATCATAAAAGTATATAAAAATGGACTATAGAGGGACACAAAGAGCTGACAATGGGAAACACCTGGGAGGACCAGGTGAACATGGACGGGGCTAGAGCAGAAATACACAGGAAAGGACCAAACAGAGTCAGAGAATACAGAAACACTAGAAAAGCACAGAAAGGAAAACCAACACCCTCAGTCGGAGTAATAGACCCTGGACTGAATTCTGATTAATCTCTGACCCAGTAATCCACAAATCTGATAGTTGCAGGTTTTTCGATCAGAATGAAAAGTCATGTYTACCTTGTCGCAATCCATGTTGTCGTTCTTGTTCTGTTTGATGGGACTCTTTACTTCAAGTATCTGATGGAACAGAGAAAAAAGAAACAAAGTTATGGCAGGGCTCTCTCCTTGATGTTTTGAAGAATGTTCAGACGTGCGTAAGTCTCTAACCTGGTTATTAGTAGTTTTTAAAAGGGCTGGAGCCTCTCTGCGGGTGGGGGGTGAGGAAGAGGAGCTGTCAATCTCACTGCCGTCACTCAAACTGACCCTGGGCAGGTGAAGAAAATTAAAGGTGCAACAGAAAGCCATTTACCATTTATTTACCTCCAAATCAGGAGAACGATGCATGAATTACATCAGTTTGTAAATGTACTGTCCACTTTTAATGAACCAAAGGTAAGAGGACAAATTAAGTTTTTACTTTTTAATATTTTGTTTCTTTGCAGTCAGGCTGGAACACATTTGTCTGAARAAACTTTTTGTTTGTTTGACAACTATCTGACCAATAGATCTCAGATGATACAGTATKATWTTGTTCTGGTCTCTCACCTAATAATGCTTTTAATGCAGTCAGCTTTTAATGTTTTACAGACAAATCTTTATCACCTTAAGCCTGTGTTAAATGCAGATAAATCAAAGGTGATGCTGTTTTCTAATGGGAGATTTGAACCCAAGGATCTTCCAGTCATTGTTACAACTGAAGGTCTAAAAATTGAAAATATGTCACAGTATAAATATTTAGGATTTTTAATTGATAATTCTTTGTTTTTTTCTTCCCGTATTCAACAGCTAGTGAAGAAGCTGAGATTAAAATTGGGATTTTATTTCAGGATTAGATCGTGTCTACAGTAGCTTTTGAGGCTAGAAAGCGACTGGTTGATGTAACTTTTATGTCTGTACTGGACTACGGGGACATTTTATCCATGTGTTTCTCTTAAATGTCTATTCACTGGATACTGTATCACGAAGCTCTAAGATTGATAACAGGTTTAAAAACTTTTACACATTATTGCACATTAGACAACCAAGTTGGATGGATGGCCTTGGCTACTTGTAGACTCCATAATTGGCATATTTTCATTTATAAGGCCATACTAGGATTTCTTGCATCATATTTGTTGGCCTATATAAATAGAAAGACCACCAGAGTATATTCTCTTCGTTGTGAGAATTTATTTTTACTTTCGGTGCCTAAAGTCCGAACTGAACTTGGAAAGAAATCTTTTCAGTTTTCTGCTCCATCTTCTTGGAARCAGTTGCAGAGATARWTGAACCTAAAYGHGRTGTTGTCACTAAATGTTTTTAAGGRTGTTCTTARTGATTTTGGGAAYGAATCATCTGTRTGTAAATGTTTTAACAGAGGAATGTTGTACTTAATCTATCTATGACCGTGCTAACTTTTTCTATTTTAGCMGTGAATGTTCTGTAACCTCTGTGTACTGCTACCAGTGTTGGCCAGGATTCCCTTGCAAAAGAGATTGTTAATCTCAATGGGATTTTCCTGGTGAAATAAAGGTTTAATTACAGACGTCAGCAGATGATGGGTTTGTTCTTCACTCCCTGCTGAGCTCTTCTGTAATGTTTCCACTGTTGTTGGCATCATGTTAAAACTAACCAAGGTTACACTTCTTTAATATTTTACACTAATTAAAAGACAAATGAACCATTTTTTACAGACAGAACTCTGCAAACTGTTTAACTATATCAGAAAATGACTTTTTTTTTTTATCTCTGTTTTCACGTTTTAAGCTCCCGGTTCTGTCGTGTTGTTGCAGCAGCGTCGAGCTGGTAGTTTCTACTCTAATAGTTGTCACTGAATTCTGCAGAAAGCTGAGGTCTCCATCATTGCTGCTGTCCTCCACAGTTACATTTAGTTCAGAGTGTTGCAGACATTCATCCACACATGAAGCTGCTAACCTGAGCTGATGGTGTGTGAGGTGTGTGTGTGCTGGTCGCTCTGCATCAGAGTCCATGTCGTCATCGTTGTCCTCCGAGTCCTCGTCGTCCTCATCAGACTGCAGATCCTGCATGACTGACTGCAGCGGGCCCAGCACTGGGTTTAAAACACAGGAACAGGTGAATCCACGTCATGGTTTCTGCTTCAGTTAMCTCCAGTAAACACACCATGTGGACGCAGTAAAGTGGTAATGAACACGCTCTGCTGCATTTCTCTTTTAAAAAGCACAAAGCATGTTTACAGCTCATTTTATGATTGAAGCTTCATTTGGTTTTGACTTTGATCATTYCCTCTTKYCCATGAACACTGTTTTTGTTCRCATTTCCTCTAAGYTTAAACAGAAATATTCAAGGTTTTMTCTGTTCAGCATCCTTTCTGCACATTTAGAAGTTAGAACAGTAAAACCTTTAGTTTTTATATCAGATTTTTCTTCTGACATGAGAAGACTTTCTGACGATGATGATTCCAAGTGATGAAGGGTTTCAGGTGTTTCTTCCTGCTAACATAGGCTGTGTCTCAATTCATGGATTGCAGCTGATGTTGGCCGCATTTGTCGGCCGCTTACGTCACTGCCCCGCCGCCGTAGGCTGTCCCAATTTGTCAGTGCCTCTTCATGCAGCCGGCAAAACCCCAAAAACGTAGGCTGCATCTGAGTATCTTACGTGGCTGATGGTATACCAGAATTCATTGTGCCATCATCAAATTAAACAGAAAAACAAAGATGGCAGAGTTTTTTTTAGTAATGTTTGTTTAATCTAATAATGTTAGGAATAGATTAGTAATGGTAGAGTTAGGGAAAATGTCTGGGTTAGGCATGAATGCAGTTACAAAAATGAATGAAAGTCAATACAAAGTCCTCCGTTTGTTGCAAGTACAAGGATGTGTTTGTGTGTGTGTGGGTGTGTGTGTGGGTGTGTGTGGGTGTAMGCACGTTTTTGCTACATCATATGAACCGGTTTCCAGAAAAAGGCAGCCTTGTGGGGACTGAACGTGCATCACGGAGACCAAAGCCCAAAGTCCACATGGGTATGGATGCTAATTTCAGTTGGGGCTTTAGCTTAGGACCAAGGTGTGAATTAAGTTTAGGTTAGTTTAAGGGTAAATAGTCAGGCTATAAAATTACCAAAAAATAAGTGGAAGTCAATCCACGGTCCCCACGGTGATATAAAAACAAACCTCTGTGTGTGTGTGTGTGTGTGTGTGTGTGTGGACGGGTTTTTTCTACAATGTGGGTAATTTTTCTTTTTAACCAAAAAAAGCAGCCTCGTGGGGACCTGGTCCAAATGCATGTGTGTGTGTGTGTGTGTGTGTGTGTGTGTGTGTGTGTGTGTCTGTGTGTGCGTGCGCTACCTTGGCGTTTGTGGTGTGTAGGAGCAAAGCCTGAACTGGAGCTGGAACTGGCAGGACTGGGCTGTTCAGACTGAGATGAAAACCAGAAAAACAAATTAAAAAACAGTAAAAAAAACATTGTTTTTAATCATATATAGCATGGCATAGATCACTCCGGGGGCCACAGTTAATGCAGGTCAACTGCTCAGGGGCCGAACATCCAGTTAATGTTATGTAAATAAACCAAGTATTACAAAGATCTGTTACCTTTGAAATAGCTTATTTTGCTGTATTTAATCATGAATACAACATACAGGACCCTATAAAAGTAGTGATCACTAAACAATATCAAAAACAAAAAGAACACATTCTGCCTCCTGTTTAACACAAATAATATTTTAACATCTCTGACTTGCCAAATTTTTAAACCAATATTATTTTCACTTTCATAGTTTTAGCTTCGACTGCTTGTAGTTTTAACTGTCTTGGATGTTCATAGAAATGGTTTTACCAGTTTGTAGCCAAGATTTTGATGATTCTGTAGATACCACACATGTCTAACTCAAAGAACTTAGAGTCATTAAAGTAGAAAACCGGGGGTTTTGGCTTAATTGATGAATGAACCAATTGACGGGCCAAATTTTGGTTACTTGCAGGCCAGTTGACTAGCCCTGATATACAACATGCTGTACAAAATAATAGTGGGTAATACTAGAACAGGGGTCACCAATACGGTGCCCGCGGGCACCAGGTCGCCCGCAGACCCCTTCTCAGTCGCCTGCAGGACACGTTCTAAAAATAGCACTGATCGACTGATCAGCGAAGCAGTGCTCTAATTTAAAGTGTATCTTACCCCCCCTGTGAAAAGATAACTCAGCCCCAAGGTGAAATTTGAAAAATGCATCAAAGTGGGTAGGGGAGGGGTGTGGGTGGGGAAGGGGGGTTAGAGAGCGGAGGTGTGGCCATGACAAGAGAACGTGACAGGCAGCTAGCATT